TCTGGCGGCTGGCGTCGGGGATCCGAGTAGTCCTGCCAGCGCCAGACAGACGAGACAGACCAGATATCCCTAGGCGCGCCCGTGCGGCTCGGTGGACAGCACACACGCCAGAACCGTTACATCCACCCCACCTCCGAAGTATACCCGAGAAATCTACGGGGCCTCTAAAAGCCATGCAGGATCAAACAATGCCTGAAAATTAAAGACATCGTGAGGGGCATGAAGGGCATATATAACGTTGACATTGTCAACCGCAGTGACCTCACCGACTGGTTGATCAGCGCGGGGGTCACGACCATCACACATGCGTCGAAGCCGCGAGATGGTGCCAGAGGCCCGAGGGGGCCCAGTGCATGATTTAGTTAAATCAGCTGCTTTCTTGCACGAGTAGCGGCCGCATCGTCGACAAACTATGATATTATTTAGCCGCCTGTGCACGTGCCCGCCGCCAGTGGGAGAAGAGCACTGTGAACGCAATAAATAGCTCTTGGAAACTGAACTAGCCCAACAATTCAAGCATCGAAACCGACCCGCCGAGGGGTCCCAGAAGTGCTCATGCAAGGCCCCAGAGGAGGCGCCAGAGAGGACTAGGGATGGGGCCGTGGGGGCGGGGGACTCGTCAGAATCCGCCACCCAAACCTTTGTGGGCGCGTTCTTGAAAATCCAGGCTATGCAATGCCCGATATACACACCAAGATTGCGCACAAGCAGACCAGAGCGCTTGACACGGTCGTGCAGGACCGTGTCCAGTGTGTGTAGGTCAGCACCCAGGTTAGCTAGTCTGTCCGCTTGCTTATTACCCGCAGAGGTAGAATGGCCACAAACCTTGGTGACCTTAATTAGGTGATACCCGATATCTGAAGCCGCACGGTGGACACGGACCCACAAGGATGCGTGAGTGGCCCATCCGTGCGTGGTAGCTTCATACCCCAATGCCCAACCGTCCACGACGTACTGGGCATCAGTGACAAACTCATAGCAGTCAGAGGGGGCAGCATGGGTTAGGTAAAATAAAAAAAACGCATACAGCTCAGCCCCTGAGACATCCTGGGTGAGAAAGGGATATGCGCCATATGCATCAATCCGCCTTTCCGAGTACTAACTGAGGGGTGGGGGTGCGAATGGAACCCATGCTTGTGAGCACGGTTGAATGCGAACTCGATAGCCTCTTCTGTACGACAGAGTTCTTGAAAACCAACAGCATCAAACCGATCAGAATAAGCCTCCAGGAAAATATCGGCATTAGACCAGGAGGTAACGTTCACAGTCACGATGACCCAGTCCCGACGCGGCTTCTGTCCGAAGGCTGACTTGCCGGGCGGGGTCTCCGATGTGTTAAAGGTCAGACGGGCCCTTGGGATTGGAGCCCCCCACCACTGCTGGGGTGTCGGCGGGGCCAGAGGTGGCGGCAGCCGACGGCGAAAACCTTCCTGACTGTCCCGACTGATCAACTGCAGCATCAGGGGCATGATCAGGACGTTTCGGCGCAGGCGGCAGCGAAGAAGAGGAACGGGGAGGAGCCCTGGCAACACGTGTTGGGGAACCTTGCTGGTCGACAGACATCCTGGGCCCCTCAGACTGGGACCGAGGTTCACTGGTAACGCCAACAGGAGCACAGCCAGACATAACGATACCCTGGAGGTCCCGCAGCGCCTGAGCAAGCTTCTTGTCTCTCTGCACTGCCTGGGAAGCTGCGAAAACGTCCGCCACGGCTGATAGATCTGGAGGCGTGAAGCCCTCAGGGACTGGCTCGCTCGACGGGAGATCCTGCAACTTAGACTGCCACATATCCATATCCTGGGCGACCCGCTCCTGACGAGAGCAGGGGGCGTCCCGTTCGCTCTGAAGGTCCAGGATCTTACGGTCGAACTCACGGATCTGGCTAGAGATCCTGTCAAACTTCTTACTGGCCCAGTGATGGCGCTGCTTATAGAACGCACGCTTCTGGGGAACGGTAAGCAAATCGGACTTCTGTGCACGAAGATGCTGCACCTCATCCTGGAGACCCGAGACCTGATCACGAACATACCTGGTGGGCGGAAGCAGGCGAAGGGAATCCAGCTGGCCCAAAAGGGCCTTGATAATCTGATCAGTCTGCGTAACCGAGAGCTCATTGCCATTGGTGTCGACACAGCCGCCATAAACGTCGTCGTCGACGTAATCAGCAAAAAAAACCACGATCGCTGCCAAGACCATCGTCGCCAGAGTCATACCCGAATCTATCCTGCACTTCCTCATCCAATGGAGCCTGAAAACGTTCATCCAAAGACCGAACTGGGGGAGTGGCATTACCGTCATCAACATGACGATCGTGGAAACGAGCACGGGGATGAGACAAGACACGCTCACTGCCACTGCCTTTGCTCCTGCCTTTGTCGTCCTTGTCGCCTTTGCGACCATGCTTTCCTGGGACCTGTCCTTTGGAGCGGCCAGGAAAAGGAGTACTGCAGAACTTACACTTCTGGCGGGGGCGGGTGTCGGGGATCCACGAAGTCTTGCCAGCATCGCGACAGACGAGACAGACGAGATATCCCATGGCGCGCCCGTGCGGCTCGGTGCGGTGGGCAGCACACACGCCAGAACCGCCCGAGCCTGCCGCACGGCTGCGGACAAGCTCGAAGCCTCGCGGCAAGGTTTCGAACTTGAGCCAAAATGGCTTGAGCCAAAATGGCTACGGATGCCAGAGACACACGGTGCTCGGCAAGAGGTGGATGTGCACTACCAGGACGCGTTTTGGTTGTGGAGCTGCACGCTGACACATTCCGACTGAAAACAAGGATCGAAGTCGTGTCAAGGCCGACAACGAATGCGCCATTGCGCTTGGCCAACATGGGCTCAAACAAATGTTAAGTGTGCGGCCCTGCTGTTTCGGCCGACCATCCCCCTCCTCCGCAAATCATCCGTCTCTCATCCACCAACCAATTTTCCTCGTACCACCCCATCACACACACCAAACCATATCTCGCCTGCCCCCATCCCACCCACGTACCATCCCACCACGACGCCCAACTTATCCATCACTCGCAAAGGGCAGGAAAAGGAGTATATTGTTTGAATGCGCGCCCTTGTAGTGCATCTGAATACTCTTACTGATTACCCGAACTAGGTGCACAACGTATAACATCCAGCGGGAATTGTACAATTTATCTGAGTGGCCCTTTCCGAGCGAGCATGCGGGTGGACATGGGGCACATGATGTAACTGCAGTCGTGCGGCACATGGGCAAGCATGAAACTTTCACACTCAAGTCGGCTTCGCCGATGAGGGAGGCCAGGGAGATGGGGGTTAGCGCATCGCGGCCCTGGGCACGTGCGCAGACGAGGGGGGGGCAGGGGATGCACTGAAAGAAGAAGAAGAGAGGGCCATGACAGCTTAGCGATTGCATGGGCCTCTAGCCCTCACCCATTCCCCGACGCCCCCGATTCCGCGCATGCATGAGCACGTTCATCGTGTCAGTATTAGGTCGGGCGTGTCCCCCTACAGGCGGATTTTGGACGAAACAATTGAAACATGTCCAACAAAACATTCACACATATTCAAAAATAGCAGAAAGATCGTACCCAGACTATTATTTGACTATTTTTGGATGCTCCTCCTGTAGAGGGACACGCCCGACTGAATGCTAGCAGCGACGGGCACCTACCACGAACCCCCCGTCAGCCTTGCACTGGCCCCCAGACTACCCTCTGGAGCAAGCCTCTGCCATGGCCGCGTCCAACTCAGCGATTTCCTCTGTCAGCTTGGCGACCTCCGAAGCCAACCTTGCCACTGCAGGCGCATATCTGCTGGAAAGACTCGATGGAATGTAGACACGGATCCGACCAACATGTATGCAGTTAATGGCAGGACCCGCCTGCTGTTTTTTGGCGGTGATAACACTCGGCAACCTTCACACAACTGCGGTGCGAAAGTTGGGTAGGAGAGACCGCGATACATCTGCAGGGATCTGCGCGCAGAAACCAGGGGGCGAGGGGCATGAGACGGGGGGGCAACGAACGACAGCCCACCCCAGGCCACTGGAGTTTGCCAACCGCGGCAGGGCGACCAACCAGGGCACGCCAGACTTACTCGACAGAAGCGCTTCCGCCCGCCCCACCGTGCGGAAAAGCCAGCAACGGAGGGGAAGGGTGACGCCGAGGGAGGATGAGAGGGGGAAGGTGGAGAGGGAGAAGGTGGGGGGAGGAGGAGGAGGAGGAGGAGGAGGAGGAGGAGGAGGAGGAGGAGGAGAAGGAGGAGAAGGAACAGGAACAGTAGTAGGAGGATCAGGAAGAGGCGGAGGAGCAAAAGGAGGAGGAGCAGGAGCAGCAGGAGGAGGATCGGGAAGAGGCGGAGGAGCAGAAGGAGGAGGAGTAGGAGGAGGAGGAGGAAAAAGCTTCTGGTTCCCGCCCTGGCGATGCCGTGACCCCGTGGGGCCAGCGCACTCCCGAGGACGAACACAAATGCGGAGGGGCGCAGGCCCGGAGACACCCGCGCCCCTGGACGACGGGGACCGCCCCCAGGGCTCGGGGCAGGAGGAGGGCTCGCAGACCATGTGACCCGAGGCACGTGCGCGACCCAGGGAGGCCCAAGAGACGTGTTGGAAGAACGAGTCGAAGTTGAAAGAACGGCAAAACGTAAACTTGTGGCGCTCCGCGCGGATTTCTTGGATCTGCGCTGGACCCCCCTCCCTGGCGCGCGGAGCGCGCCAGGGGCGGCGCCGGAGGCGCCGCCGGGGGGGGCTCAGCGCGGATCCAAGAAACCCGCGGGGAGCGCCAAAAGTTCATGCTCATGCCGTTCTTTCTTCCTCGAATGAGGGGGGGGGGGGGCATGAGACCGCGGAGATATCATGGCCCTGGCCATGACCTCCATTCCCTCTAGTGATCACCCTGGTCGCCCGCGACCTCCCGTGGGCATCGCGCACGGGGGTGGTTCCCACGGAATGTTCTTAGAACAATTCTGGCTGGGGCTGTCTCGCTTTAACACATAAGGCTCAAGTTCTAAGAACATTGTTTTTGTTCTTAGAGCATTTGTGGGTTCTACGAACAGTTCGTGGTAGGACTGTAGGCATGCCAGGACGGCCTGGGCGGCGGGCACACACAGCGAGGAGGCGGCCCCGGGAGGCACGCCGGTGGGAGAAAGCAGAGGCGCGAGGCCCGAAGCTCCGCCTCGAGAGGCCCGCCTTGGGGGGCAGGGCAGCGTGCCGCACTGCGGGCGAAGGCGTCCAAGCGACACACCTGGCGCGCTCGCCCACACGGCCAATTCAGCAGATGGCTGTGTCCTGGCCCAGCGATGCTGAGCCTGCTTTCTCCACTCCCCGTGCCATCATGCCATCCCTGCGCACGCAAGCGCCTCTGGAGACGCTGGAGGCGAGAAAGACGAACGACGGACGGAGCCGGGCAGTGCCGCGACAAGCGGCCCAGCTGCAGCCCGCGGGCGTCTTGATCCCCTTTGACAGAACGCGCGCCGCATTACGCACCGTTGGCGTTGAAAAGATAGGGTGCAGCATCGGCCTCCGACAACCGCGGCGTCCCTGCGAGGCGGCCCGCGAGGGCACCCTCCGTGCGCGCTGTCCCCACCGCTGGGGCTTCTTCGGTGCACGCTGTGCCCGAGGTGGGCTGCAGCGAGCAGGCTGGCGGCGCCACACCGCACGCCAAGTTTCCAACGCCAGCCGTGCATGCGCCATCTCTCCAGCGCCAACCGCACGTCCAGCAACTCCCGGAGCAAGATGCGCAGCGCGTCGCGAGAGAGAGAGAGAGAGAGGGAGGGGGAGACAGAGCACACGACGGGAAGCAGCGAGCGCGCTTGGCGATGGAGCTCTCCAGCTGGTCCTTCTCCGCGTGGAGGGCCTCCACCTGCGCCGTCTTCTCCTGGGGCGGGCCGACCGAGTCCGAAGGAGCGGGGGATGGGGGGGGGAAGGGACTGGGGCCAGGAGGGATAGGGGGGAGGGGAAGGGAGGGACGGGCGAGGGAGGGAGAGGGAGGAGGAGGAGGAGGAGGAGGAGGAGGAGGAGGAGGAGGAGGAGGGGGAGGAGGAGGAGGAGGAGGAGGAGGAGGAGGAGGAGGAGGAGGAGGAGGAGGAGGAGGAGGGGGGAGGGGAAGGGAGGAACGGGCGAGGGAGGAACGGGCGAGGGAGGGAGAGGGGATGGAGCGCGGGGGGGGGCGGGGAAGTGTCGAAATTCTCCAGGCCATCTTTCGCTTTCGGTGGGGTTGAGTGAGGAAGTGAGAAGGCCACGACCATTGAGCCCGTGCGCGCGCAGGGGGTGGGCCTGCAGCGACGCGGGGGAAGGAAAAAGGGGCAGGCCAAGCTTGGTGCGCCCGCGCCATACCCGATGTCCCTCGCCACCCACCCCTTCTCCCGGCGCTGATGTTTCCGCTATCCGCGGACGCGCGTAGCGAGCACACCGTGTTCTGCGCAGTGGGAGGGGGGCAGCTGCGCACATGGGAGGGGGCGGGCAGACTCCTCGCGCGGCAGGCTCGCCCCGTGGCACCCTGAGCGCTGGCTGCACCGCTCGCGCGGGCCGGTGAACCTCGAGCGACTGCGGCTCTCCCACAGCGCCGGCCGTTCGACATCGGCCCACTCTGGGCCGCAGGCGGTGGCCAAACCTGAGCGCCCGCGCTCGGGTCGCCGCCGCGTCGACACGGCACAAGCCTGCCACGAACCCGCCGATTGGCGGGACGCCTGGGCCGGCGGCGGAGGAGGAGGGTGCGGAGAAGGGGCGAGGAGGAGAAGGAGGAGGCGGAGGGGACAGGAGGAGGAGGAGGCGGAGAGAAAGGAGAGGGAGGAGGAGGAGGCGGGGCAGGAGGACGAGGACCAGTGTAAACCCAAGAGTCATCGACGATGTTGAAATAAACCCTCCCTCCAAGCTCCCTCTTCATAGGCCCCTGCAACGGTTTCTTTCCATAGAGGGAACTGGCTCGTTGGAAGACGATCGTTTGAAGACCCTGAAGCATGCCCAAAGTTTTTCTCGGGATTCCAACGCCACGGATCAACCTGACTGTTGCGTTTTGACGCCATTCTTGGCATCACCGCGAACGAACGTAACTGTTGCACCCTCATAATCGTGAATACTTCCAACACACAATTTCTGGTTATTTGATCGGGAGTCCGTGAAACGCTTGCACAGTTTGAAAACGAATGTGCGCGGCGCTGAGGTGGAAACCACATTGTGAAAAGAAACCACCCTCAATCCGTGAAACTGTTGCAAACTTTGAAAACGAATGTACGAGGTGCTAAGGCGAGAGCCACAGTGTGAAAACGGGTTCCCCTCAATCCGTGAAACTCTTGCGAATTTTGAAAACCCATGTGCGCAGCGCTGAGGCGAGCCACATTTTGAAAACGACCCGCCCTCAATCCGTGGAAGACTTGACAATGTGTTAAACGAATGTGCGCGGCACTAGCTAAGGGCAGAGCCACATTTTGAAAACGACCCGCCCTCCATCTGCGAAGATGATGCCAATGTTGGCGCTTCAGGAACATAAGTGGTGAGGAAGTCTCACGCGAAACGCCCGGTCCGCCCTCAAAACTGGCCTCGGGGTGGGACAAGGAAAAAAGTATTCATCAGAAAGGAATGCAGGAGAGAGGACTCATCAACGATGGTGCAATAGAACCTCCCTCCAAATCCAACCAGCCTTCTGGGTGTAGGTGGTCTAAAGCGATTTCTCGTCAAACCCCGTCCTCAACCCCTTCGGGCAGGGGTTTACCCCTTCCCCTCCCCCCTCCCCTTGACCTGAAGGGTGAAGTTCGCGAGGCGTTGGAGCGTCCAAGATGGCCAAAGATGTCTCTAGGAGGGGCTCAAAGAGCTCAAGATGACCTCCAAGATGGCCCAATATGGCCCCCAAGATGCTCCAAGAGGCCCCAAGACCGCGCCAAGACGGTTCCGAGTGGCCACGGGGCCTCCCAAGGAAGCTGCCAAGAGGCCAACATTCTTCAAGCACCCAAAGCAACATCAATGGTGGCCTTCCGGGGCCTCAAGACAGCTCCAAGAGGGCCCCTGAGGGCTCCAAGACAGGCCCAAGAGAGCCCTAAGACGGCCCCGAGAGCGCCCAACAACGCTCCGAAAGAGCCCTGTAAGAGGAGCCGAAGAGGCGATGTTAGGGGGTCCCGATGGGGTAACGCAATTTGAGCTTCCTTTGTTTAGTGATCGATCTACTCCAAGATGGCTCACATAACGTTCCCACGGCTCCCAAGGGCGCATCAAGAAGGCCCCAAGAGGCTCCAGGAGGCCCCAAGAGGCTTCTCAGAGGCCCCCAAGAGGCCTCCAAGAGGCCCCACGAGGCTGCCCGAGGCACCCAGGACCCTCCAAGAGGCCCCTGGGACCGCCAAGAGGCCTCAAAGACGCTCCAAGAGGCCTCCAAACACCTTCCAAGAGACACTTGAGACTCTGAGAGGCAACTCGCCTGGGCATCGTTTCTGGATGGGCTGGGGGGAATGCGCGAAACGTCAAGCATTATCACGATATTCCGGCCCATCGCCCATTCTAAATATGAGCCCGTACCATCCCAAGCAGCCCAGTATCGACCCCCCCTCCATCCTCTGCAAAACACTGTGTGCGCGCAATCTTTTATGACAAATCACAAATGGTCAAGAAGCTCATGCAAACAACAGGACGAAACGCGCACGCGCGTGTCGCCGCGCGCGCATGCAACAAATCTGGCAACAAATTCAAGTCTCGAAAAAAAACAAAATAGAACGTCCCGAAAACATGGAGACACACAGGGTTTCGCAACCGGACTTGTTGTACAAAATGCGCCCGCGATCTTGCGAATTCGAGGGGGCACCATGCGACTTTCACGATGATTTCAAAATGCTACCTAACGGACCTCTCGCGCGCGCGTCGAAATCGTTCGCACGCCCTTGCGCGCGCTGTTCCGTTGCAAAAGAAAAGGCCGAAACGCACGTGCGCGCGCCGTCGCGCGCACGCCAAAAACCTTAAAACCTTAGGTTTCGCCCGGGTGTAAGCATCGAGTGCCCCGAAGCCATGGAAAAACAAACGGTTCCGCAACCCCACGTTTTCAAAACAAAAAAGCTGCGCTCGAGCTTCTGTAACTTCTTAAGAAAACCACGCATTGTCAACATGTTCGTTCAATTCTGCCAAACGGGCCTCTCGCGCCACATGTCGAAATTATTCGGGGGGGAAGCGCTGTCCGTGTCAAATAAAACCATGCGGACCACTCTCGCGCGTCGGCCGCGCGCGCATATCGAAGTCCTTCCAACACTTGCATCACCGACGCGAGGACGCCGCCATCGTCGTGGGCGTGATTCGCATCGGCACCGTCGTTGGCCTTCCCGTCGTCGTTGCCATCATCGTCACCAACATCGCTACTGCCATCCTCGTGTGTACCGATGTCGACGTCGCCATGGTACCGCTCCCGCCCAAGTCGCCGTCTCGCGCTGAAGCGCCCGCTGAGAAGTACCCAACGGTCAACGCCACCGTGGCCGCGTCGGTCGCGCTAAGCTAGCTGGCCGCTGCGCGCGCGAGCATGTGCAGGCCAGCGCGGCAGCAGAGATGCACCAGCCAACACCAAGCATTCATCGCAATCGCCGCTGCATGGGCTCGTGCGGACCAAGTTGCGGGTGGCTGGGTGGGATAATTGCGCAAGCATTGGAGTTGGCCACTCACTGCGAACAGAAATTAGACCATGGGAATGCACCACATACTTTGCACCAAATAGCTAACACCACATAGAGCGCACCACATACATTACACCACGTAGACTGCACTAGCGAGCCCCCAGACAGGACGGCGAGGCAGGAGGCAGGAGGCGTGGAAGAGTCAGGAGGAGAGAGGAGGAAGAAGGAACATGTCACGACCACTGTGCTCCATTCGAAACGAGAACCCAACACAGGAGGGTTAGGAAACCATCAGGGAAAACAATCGGGCACCCATCGAGACAACCATCAAGACTCCTATCGGGACAACCATCGGGGACAAGCATCGGGCCGTCGGGACGCCCGTCGGGAAGACCAGCGGGCCATCCACTGGGGCAACCATCGAAATAACTATCGGGGTGACCATCGGGACAATCATCGCGACAACCCTCGGAACAACCATCGGAACAACCATCGGGACAAGCGTCTGGACAACCATCGGGACAACCATCGGGATGATCATCGGGGGGACAACTGTCCAGAAAACTGTCGGGAGAACCATCGGGACAACCGTCGGGACAAGATTCGCACCAAGGCCGGCGCGTTGGGCGACTCAGTTCTGTCAGACTTGGCCCTAGCCTCGAACCAGTTTGCGAACTCGCGCACCCTCGCCTCGCCAAGACCGCTTCTCCTACGCCCCATACAGTTATGAGCCTGTTTCACCACCACCACCATAACTTGGAGGGGGGAGGTGGAGGAGGAGGAGGAGGAGGAGGAGAAGGAGGAGGAGGAGGAGGACCCCCCTCCAACTTATGGTGGTGGTGGTGGAAAACACGCCCATCATACAAAGTCTTCCTTTTCACTACAAGCAGCGCCCCTTTGAAAGACAAGCATTGTTTGGCCTGCCAATTTGGCGGAGCCCCACTTCGAAGAAAAACTGCCTTGCATCTTTCTGGCGCGTAGTCAGGAACGCGAACAACGATGGCCATGCACCATACAATGCCCGACGATATCCCCCTTTCGAAGAAGGGCCGCCCCACCATCCTTGAATGTTACACACGTTAATCCTGGTGTTCACGAACTTCGAAGGCATCTCTAACGACAACTCCATTGAAACAGCGAAGCGCGATGGATCCGTGCAGCGCCGCGTGCGTGGGAGCGTCGGGACCGTATACTTAACGACATCCGTTTTGACGAGACCAGCCCCTCGTCCCAACGGTGCAGAGGAACAACAATTACTCACTTCGTGGAGCTCCCCATATGTGCACCTCATGTTTTA